GGCCGGCCCCGGTACCGGCCTTTACCGGCTTTTTTTTTGCTGCCAGATCCGTACCTGTCATGTCACGGGAGAGACCGAGGTTTTTCACCCGGTCCCCCGTGACGGTCTGCGCGGGCGCATTCCACAAACCTCAGACGCAAGCAGTTGCGCATGCCCTGCTAACTGCGACGTGAGTGACAGGCTGGACGGCGGCGTTATCATGAGCGCGCTCGGGCACATTCAAACGGAGCAACTCCTTTGTGACGGCCCTGCGTCGGATGGCAACCACGGACACCCCGAAGCCCTATAATCTAATCCTTAGGGCAGAAGCCTTTAACCCATCATTTCAAGTGAAGTGACCGGGTTGTGATCCTGAACGTCAGTGGCTTAGAGCTTAAGGGCTGAGGGTTTAGGATGTAAGGCTTCCATTATCCAGAAGACGACGGTTCTGAAATTGTGCAAGGCGAGATTGCTATGCGATGGCCCCGCACCCCAAACCCATCACCTCGGGTTCACCTAAGCCTCCGAAACCCTGCAGCAACCCTAAAACCCGAAGCCCACATGCGTGATCCTTTTTCAGGGGCTATGGTTTCGAAATTTCTGCAGTTGCAAATGCTTAAGATATCTTTGCTGGGGTCCCTTACCAACTTTAAAGCTTATGGGGTTCGTAAAGCTTATCTGTTTTGACAGTTCGAAAACAGCATTTTCTCGCGTATGGCGCTTAGTATTGTTCTCAGAGTTTAATGCTTGAATTTGCCTGAGTCTTCGATGTAGCTCTGAAGGTTTGCTCTGTGATTCTCTTGGGTTTCGCAGGGAACCACGCCTCATTGGAGGACTTAGAAATCGTGAGATCCTTGCGTTGATACCACAGAGAGAGAGAGAGAGAGAGAGAGAGAGACAGAGAAAGAGAGAGAGAGAGAGAGCGAGACAGAGAGAGAGAGAGACAGCGAGCTTCCTCTTCTCTCGTAGCAAGCCGAGAGCGTTCGGCCTGGGCTTCCTGCTCTGCTTAGGGTTTAGGGGGGTTAGGGGGGGTTTAGGGTTTTAGGGGGGTTAGGGGGGGTTTAGGGTTTGGGGGGGGTTCCCTAAACCCTAAAACCCTACAACCCTAAACCCTAAACCCCCAAGTCCCCTAACTTTGCTTATTCCACGTCCACCTCGCTCCGTGGCGCAGTCGCCGGGTCGTACCTTTATTGGGGAGTTCCAGATGTGGGTTTTAGGCTTTAGGGTTGAGGGGCTTTAGGGTTTAGGGTTTAGGGGTTTAGGGTTTAGGGTTTGGGGTTTAGGGTTTAGGGTTTAGCGTAGTTTAGGCTTTAGGGTTTGGGGGGACTTGGCCAAAGGAAACGAGGGACCTCTAGTAAAATAATCGAAACGAGCTACTGTCAGTACAAAGATCCGACGAGAGGGACCATCGCATGATCCAGACGTACAGCCAGCACCAAGCCGCCAAACGCTAAACCCAAACGTCATCAACCCTAAAGTCCTAACCCCATGCCCCAACACCTAGCGAAAAAGGGTTCCTTTGAATGCTTTGCTGGTTCCCCTAAGTGTTCCTATGGGGGTTCCTTGCCGGGTACTTATTACTATTGTCTGATTTCTGCATGGGCTTAGAGCTGCAGGGCATGAGGGTGTCGGGGCTCAGGACTGAGAGGTGTTCCGTGATTGTTTAAAGGGTTCAAGAGGTTCGCAGAGTCAGGGTAACCTCATTCTTATAGTGAGGTTGGTACGGTTTCGTAAACCTACATTGTGCAACAACCCCCCTTTTCGGCTCCAAGAACAGGGCGTGCACTTCCTGCTGTCCAGGCACACAACATGCGGACTGAAGAGACCTTCCGGCTGAAATTCGACGACATCCACCTCGGCTTCGAGGGTTTAGTAGGGTTTAGGGCCCCATTAAAACCCAAAAGTCGTTAGGTTGTCCCGACCGTAACTTAAACGCTGCAGCTACGAGTCCAAAGACCGGAGAAGCCCACAGGGATCGGGTGAACTGTAGGCCGGCCCTGTAAAGCCTCTGAAAATATTTGGTAATAAGCACCTCATGCGTCCAAGAAAATCTGAAATACCCGGGCATCTTACCTAGTTTAGGATTTGGGGCATAAGCCCGAACATCTCTCAATCCTGATCCTACACATGGCGGCATACGGGAGATTTCTGATTTCGGTGCCTTGGGAGTTGAGGGAGCAGTGTTTTTGTTCTGTTGTCAGTAAAGGTTGTAGCATAAACTTGAACATGGAACTTTCCAAAGAAGACAAATTTGGCGATTCTTCCTTATATGTACGGTGCAGCCCTTGCTTGTCGAAAACCGCAGACTCGAGATCCTTGCATCCAAAATATGAGCCTTTTCCTAGGTCTGATGCTCCTGCTAAACCGAGCATAGGGTTGCGGGTTTACGTATAGTGCCCTTTAAGCCCGAAGCCCATCGTTGAACTGAAACCCGTAGACGGCCTAAAGCCCTTGAACTCTGGTAAACCCAAACTTGAACCCTTGGGCGTTCAGCTCGAAACCGTACGCCCCGAAGCGGTCGACCTGCTTAAACTGAAATATTCCGCGCTCTGACGGTTGTGATACATGCTGCAAGGCATCATTGGAGGGTCAGTAACAGACATGAGAAGGCATAAGTCCTGGCTGGAAGCCGAAAAGTGACTCTACTAACCCCATTTGTCCGAAGCCCCAAAACACCTAACAGCTTCTAAACTCGTTCAAGGAAAGTCTTATGGAACACTCGCCGCAGTGGACCTCCACTGTCTGGAGCTACTTTGCCGGAAGATCATCTTGAGAAGCGAGCATGACCCCAACAACAATAAGCAAAGGAGAATTCAAAAGCTACCCGCTACATCCCATGATCCCCTCAACTAGGCTGGCCTCGGCGGACGTGCCGCGGTCCACTTCGATAGCCGAAGATCCACTTGCGCTGGCATTCTCCTGTGGGGTCCGGGAGGGTGGGTTCAAAGCTCAGGATTTTATGGGAGCTCCGGGAGGTTTCGAAGGGCTTAGGGTTCTGCTTGAAGGATGAATGGGCTTGGCAAATTGGCCCTGCGTGGAGTTATGGCTAACCTTGTTCGGGTTATGGTCTTTATAATCATTATAGGCTTGT